AGATCTCATCCAAGCTTCATACAGTAAACTCCATAGCCAAAGCCTTGTTAAAGCTCAAACCTATTTCGAAGTAAAGTACAAGCTGGACTTGTGTGTTTGTGCATTTGTATTGTTGTATTGAATGTTTGTATGTGGATGAGAATATTGTATAAAGATATTTGATCCAGAATAAGAACTTGGTTCTTTTATTCTCGACTCAGTCCTGTAATAGAAAGGACAACAATTTATAATTTAAGCAGCCATGCCTCAAGTTATCCTAAAATCTCCTTTTTGATGGTACACAGGTGATCACCCATAGAAAAATTCCCCCAGTGCGTCTAACACATTGCAGGTGACTGTCACACAATTTCTATGGGTTCACTATATACCCATCAGTATTTGTGAATTGTTTGCTGGGGGGCAGAATTTTGCCTCATTATTTCTGCTTTTTTCTGCTTGAGTTATGGTGCTGAAATGTATAAAGTCTGGAACCAGGCATCTGGGGGAAAGTTATCTTGTGTCATTTTTGAATGTCTATAAGACTGCCTTGCTCAAAACCACTGACTGCCTTGAAACAAAAATAAAAATATTCTGCTGAAGATTCTGGAAAAATGATTATATCTCTAGAATAAAAATTTCTACAATCCAAAATATAGACACAGTTGAAGAAATAATGGACTATTTTCTGCATCTTTGGGCTTTGCTGCATACTTATATACAGAAAACCTAACTTGGCTAACTCAACATTAGGCAATGGTTCTCCATGGCAATGCATATCTTGGCTCTAGTTTGAGAGCCACTGGTTTCATTGGCATTGAGCTGTCCAATTATTACAAAGTAATTTCAAGGGACACATTCAGGATTACTCACTGAGTAGAAAATGCCAGCATTGTCATGAGTCCAGGAAATCCCTGAGAATTTAACCTTTTTGAGTTCTTCTTTGGAATCCTCAAGTGTATTCACTGATTTGAACTTGATGGTGGTCCAATCTGATCCAGAGTATGATAGAGCATATGCAAATATTTCTCCATCTTCAGAAAATGATGTGGTTAGGATCCCAACAGTTCCTATTGCAACCAAGATTTCATCTCATCAACTATGAAATTTTAGTGGCAAATAATTTGCAATGATAAGTCTCACCATCTGTAGATAATGTGTTTGGATCAAGGAATATTTTTGCTTCTCCATCCAGCTGGTCTTGGAAATACCACACACTGAAAATGATTTTTTTTATAATTTGTTTCTAAATAAAATGGGGAAGATGATGTAGAATTGGATTCAAAATCTGAAAAAAAACAAGGGAGACATGGTCTTGTTTCCTGGACAATTGGTACTGAAATCTTGCAGAATTTATGCATTTTGAAATAAAAGGCCAAATTCCATTCTAATAAAAACTGTCATGGGGTTTTCATTTTAAAGAATTTTCAAATTCCCTTGTCAAACCATTATAAGCACAATGCCAGATGAATCTGTTTACATTGAAAATTCCCCATCCAGTACAGCAAAATAACTTTTCACATTTTGTCTAAATTCTTCTGCTTAGAACAAACAAATGTATTTAGGCTGGAGAAGAAAGCTGTTCCTTATTAAATGTGTTATTTTGTTGGACATATTTTTTGCAATGTTCAAATATTTTGATTTGTTGAGAAAAGGAACTACAGTGTTTAAATTCTCCTGGATACCAATTTTTGCAATTTTTCATTCATAAAATTTGAGTTAATTGTAAAATTTTAGCAAGAAAACTATGCCATCTGAAATTAAATTTATACTCACATGCCACCAAGAGGAGCTTTGCACTGAGTTAATCTTGCTCTTTTTGAGCCTGTATTTCTTAAAAATTTTTAATCCCAAGTTTTTGAAACTTGATAAATTTCTCTACAACTCACTCTTGATTTTGAATACCAGAGTTGTGCAAGTAAAAATAGCGATTTCCTTCTCTACGTGGCACACCGAACCGGGGAAAATTCCACAAATCTGTGGTTTTTTTCAGCAAATCATCTCGAATTGGACAAGCGTGAATATATGGCAAGCTGATGGCATTCTGAGCATCAACAAACTTCTGGGTTTCCTCAGAATCTGGGTCTTCCAACCAACGGTAAGGATCGTCAATCTGTAACAAAATGGACATGTGCTCTTTCAAGCAGAACTAATTTTCAGAACTTAACCGAGAAATCAAAGTTTTTCACTGATATACAGTATTTCACTATTATAACTCCCAATGTTTGGAGATCAGGGAAACCAAGCACCACCCAATAAATGCAACCTATTTATATTCAATTTTCAACTATATTGTGTAATGCATGTTGGGCCACTAGATGTCACTGTGCAACCAAAGCAGAAACGTATTGCAGCAGCCCAGTCCACACTTGTGACATAACAAGTGCAGATCCTGTTTGAACTGGTTTGCCTCCTTCAAATGACCCAAAATCCTTGGCTGAGCTAATTCCTCCAAAGACAACTTCAAACCCTTTGCCAGTTCTGGCCTATCACAATGCAAGTTAGTTGCATGGAGTACTTTCTCTTCTTGAAAAAAAATGGTGCAATGTCAGCTGTGTAAATGGCCAAATTTCCTTTATAGTAACCTATTACAAACTTGTATTGCATCCTTTGTATTTAGCAACACTGCAACAGAAATTCATTGATTTTAAGCAACAGAAATAAAAGGTAGTTGATTTGATGCTGAAATCCAGTCAAAGCCAGTATGGTTAGCACTGTAAGCAAAGCAAAAGGAGCTACAATCATATAATGATTTGTCTGTTGAAAATAGTGACATATGAACAAAAAAGTAAAAAGGGACTTTATTTAGCTGATGTTCAATATATGGCCGTACCACTAAGGGTCGAAAAGACGTCCAGTCACAAACTTTTATCACGGTTTTATGACATGAGGAAGTAACTCCTCTTTTCCGTTCCTCATCCCTAATTTTTATACAGTTGACCTGTTCTGATCTCTTCCAGAAATTTAAGAATTTGAACTCCTTAAAGGGGAATGTTTTTTAGGGTCTGAAAGACTACCACGGTGTCAAATAAAGTACTTTCTAGTGTACCAGTAGGGGTCCAAAGATTTTAGTGTAGTGTAAACAGTGATATCTTGGTGAATCAAGTACAGTACAAAAAAATGAAATAATGGAAGCCCTTTTTGGCACACAATTCAGTCACTATTGGCACTGTTTTGTGAGCTTAATCACTGTGGAGTGTGTGCAGGAGAGTTCTGCTGAGTTGTTGCTTTACAGTCTGTTTGTAAAAACAATTGTCACTCAGAGCTTCTTTAGGACAAATTTTGATATATTTCTCAATTCCTTCAAAACTTAGGAATGCTTTGCTGGTTTCTGCTCTTGTCCAGGGCTGATTATGTGTTAGGTTTTCCAAATCACTCTATCAAATCAACCCAGCGCAATTCCTCATATTTTTGTTTTGGTGATTTATTCGTTAACAGTCAGCAAACACTTGATAACATTTTTTATATGTGATGAAAGAAAAATTAATGGCTGACCTTTGTGTTGAAATATTCGTAGGAAACTTCATCACGGCGAGCAAGTGGGTACTGGAAAGGTGAATTTGATTCCATGATAATTGGTCATGAACAAAAATATGTGGTATAGCCAAATGATAAAAATTCAAATACAGCAGGTATATGACCAAAAGTAAGCATTACACGGTTTTACAAGAGAAAGATTAATTCTACCTGCAGCGGCTTTTGCTTTCATTCATTCATCATTTTTCTTAGAATCTTTGATTAATTCTCTGTATTGTTTAGCTTCAAAGGTATTTATCCAGTCTTCCAGTGACTAAGGGGATGAGCATTTACATGGAAATTACTTTACTGTACCTTCAAATAAGTGCCTATAATAGAAAAATAAACTGGTGGAAATATTTACCACAAAAAAAGAAGACGTGCCTCAATTTTTTTTATCATCATCCCACTGCATATTGAAATTACATTTTTTTCGAAAACGACTACTGACAATGATTAAGATTCAAATAAGCATGTTTTGAAATGCTATAATGTATTCATGCAATTGAATGATTTTTCTCTTTCAAAATTTTTTTCCTGTGCTCATTTTACATGTAATAATTCACAGATCACCAATTGTCAACCCTGTACATGAACTTTCATTTGGAAAATTTTATTTGGGAACCTTTTGCTTAGCAATGGATGCTTTGAAATTTTTTAAATTTTGAGTGGAATATTTGGATATTTTCCCAACTGGATGACGTCGTCATTATCAATTATATGAGAAAAAGTAAAACACAAAAATCAAACTTTCCAGGATCCTGAAGAAGTAATAGAAGATTCTTTCCAAGGTATCTACTGAAATGAGTTCTTGGAAAAATTCACTGGATGGGCTCTTTTCGACAAAACATGTCATCTGTCATGTGAATGTCTTAATTGCGTCCAGGTATTTTCCTTGAGTTGAAAATCATGCATTTTCGCAGATAACAGTGACATCTACTGATGCTATTTGAAATGCCTTTGCAGCGTTCGTGTATAAATTGTAGATGTCGAGCTTCAACTGAACTTCCGGCGTTTCATTTCCTCCAATATTTATTTATTCTACTGCGCTGGCTTCCGGAAACGAAAGAAATTCTAGAATAATTTTTTCTCGAATTCTGAAGAACAATGAGAATCGTAGGATCTCCACGTCTCATCTTTATAGTGTCCATTTCGTATTTGGGCTCCTATCTGTGCTTTTTGTTTTCATTTGTTGCTCACATCATGGTTGCCAACAGCCTCTTGTTTCGATATACACATTGAGGTTTTCAAGCGATCGGTTTTTTTTCTTGATTCATTGCCCCACAAAAAATTGGAAACACCAGTTGAGCAGAGTAGGCTCAATTTTACAAGTGAAATTATTCAATGAGGAAGAAGTATTTTTATACACCCTGTGAAATTCATTTCCTGCTTGAATAATAAAACATTGGTAAGGATACTGACAGATCTTATATTTATGTGTGCAGTTGTTCCTCTGCAAAAACATTTTCAGAAGAGAAATTAAATATTCTGTTCTGTATCCTGATTTTTTTTTCAGCAGGAAATTTTCAGTTGCTGTGAATAAACCTGTGAATCATTCATTTTTTTCCTTGCTTGATTTTCCTCTTGCAAAGCCTTGTGCTGTCTCAAAAAAACCCAGTTGTTTTTCTTTTTGTTGGAGAATTATGTAAAGTCAAGATTGATTCAATTTTCTGAAAGTCACATGCAGTCATTTTTGTCCATTATTCCTGGAACCTATACTAAAAGAAGATCCGTTTATGAATCCCATGAATTGCAAAATGAATCCTTTGTCATATGCAAGTACTGTGTTTACATATTTATTTTATTTTATGGTATCAATCCCCCTCTTCTGAGTTTAGAGATACGAGGGAAATTCCAGAAAGATATTACTCAGTAACCGTTATTTTCCCAGTAAAATTGAGACATCAACTGCATTTGCACATATTTTTTTCATTCTTTTATTCATTCTTGGTCCAGCAATTATACCATGTTTTTATGCAGCCTGCCCATCAGTTGGTAACCCTGCTTTGAAGTGGGTACCCACGTTGAATAAAAAAAAATAAACTGGAATTCAGGAAGAAGGGGATTTTCCCAGTATACAGGATGGGACCAAAAAAGTGAACTGATTTTTGAATCAAAATATCTCAGCAGTTTAGTAAGCTTCAGCAAGGAAAAAAACGCATGGAAGCTTGTTCAATTCCTTTTCAAATTTATGGCTTTATTGACTCAAGTTACATGGCATGGTAACAAAAGCCATTTGAATGGAAATTCTCCAAAAGAAAGGTTGTCAAGCACCTCCTTCCACTAATATATTGTTACTCAGACCGGTTGTTACAAATAAATGGGGTGCATGATGCAGTTATTCATAAAGCATGACTGTGTCTGAAGGGGCAGAAAAACATCCTCAAAATTCTTTAGCAAAAGATGAGAAGAACAATGCATCAGTGAAATGTTGCTCTACCAAAGGTGCTAATTGCAAATGAAAACTTGTTTACACTACCACTACCCCTACTCAAACAGTTGTCATGACTACTGCCATCACCATAAGCCCCTAGAACAGTGGTACCCAACTCAGAAGTGGCCAAGGGCCACATTGAAGTAGAAGAGCATCATGTGGGCCACAATGGAAAAAATGAAGAAATGTTGTCCAGTGTATTGTATGATTCATGAATTTCTGGGATGGTTTAACTTTAAACTATTCTAATTTATAAGTAATCAAGTTCTAGTCTATAATCAAGTTCAATAAGTATTTCAAGATTTTCATTATCTGGCTATCTGACTTTTTTCATCTACAAACTTTTCTGCTTCATTTTTACTGTTACAGTTCAACTTGCATCTCCATTACTTTATGACTGGATTTTTCTTAATGGAATCATAGAATCAATCTGCAAAACGTATCAAAAAGATTCAACCAAAGTCCAAAAGCAGTAACTGAAAATTATGATTGAATTTAAATGTTTAGAATAATAATAATCAGGTTGTCTGAGGACAACCTGAAATTTTAGTGCAATTGAAAACTCCTTAAGATTCACTAAGAATCTGGAGAAAACCAGAAAATAAGTGTATAAGAAAATGAATTTAAATGTTGAGAATAATAATAATCAGGTTGTCTGAGGACAACCTGAAATTTTAGTGCAATTGAAAACTCCTTAAGATTCACTAAGAATCTGGAGAAAACCAGAAAATAAGACATATTCTTTCTTTGTATAAAACACGTCTCAACGAAACCCCCTCGTAGTTTAACAGAAACATAGATTTACAGGTACGGAGGTTATTCACCGGGACAGTGATTTAGTGGGACCGAGTTTAACCGGGACTGTGAGTTTAACCGGGACAGAGTGGAACTGGGACTGAGTTTAAAAGGTAGAGTTAACCGGGTCACGACAACTTAACAGAAAGATTTAAATAGGTATAGGGAAGTGTAAACGTAAAAATGTACTACCAGATCTTTTGTTCATGCTATTAAAAAAAGTAAGCTGCTGATATAGAAAGGGAGTAGTTCTATACGTTAACTTAATTTTTGTACTGTCTTTTACGATCCCAACCTAAACTTAATGTTTTAACGTCTTGGGACAGGAAATTAGACTTTTTGTCTTACTGACTGTAGTGAAAGCAATTCAAACTGTTTTTTCTGGTTAGAACAAATCATAACAGAATTTATGAAGCCTAATAAAATTCCTGATCAAAATTGCAGGCAGAATAAGACGTCTTGAAAATTTTGAAATTTTTCCTTTTTGAGGGTCTTAATTTTTTGTGGAGATTTTCCATGCTGGCACCGCGGGCCAGATGAAAAGCCTCCGCGGGACAGATCTGGCCCGCGGGCCGTATCTTGGGCACCCCTGCCCTAGAAGAAAATTTTGCAGTACCACCATTACAACTTCTTGAGAAAAAGTGTTTCCCTACCACACTACCACTACCACTGTTGATACTCATATACTAATACAGGTGGACTCTGTCTACAATGATCTTGTCTAAAAACAATTTTCTTGGTACTGTACATTATAATACAATGAAAGTTTGGACAGCCTGGTGGGACAATAGGGAATCGTCCTTGCCCCATATGCTGTCCATAGTCTAGTGTATAATGTCACATTGAAGCTCAGTGCTGAGGTTCAACATCAACTGAGATGTTGTGAAAAAGTTTTCTGAGTTCTGGAAGAAAGTGCAGAAATTATTGAAATTTTGCTTTTTTGACTGGAGTCAAGGACAGGGGAGAATGAAGACATTGATACTGGTGAGAAAAGTTGTGGATACATTTCTGAACCTTGCTTTGATTTTATGAAATTCTGAAATTTAAATTTGATGTTTAAGGTTGTGTCTGTAATTTTTCAGTCCATTTCAGAAAATGTGTCATACAATCATACAATATTGCTCCCTCATTGTATAGATTGTAAAGGAAAACCGGCTCCAATATTAATTATTCCATAATACAGAGTGATTTACATTACTGTACTGCATTGTATCTTCTGTTAAACGGAAAATTTGATCTTTTTATTGACTATGTTATATTTTATACATACTGTTATTTATTGTCTTGACACAGTTTTTATTTCCAAATTTAGGAGAGAGAGGGGTGGTTACGAGTAACCTTTTAGTATAATGTACTACGTATATTTTATTAAAGACAGTTTTACAACTACATATATTGAATCAAACCCTGCATGATTGAGAATTTACAAACCCTAAACAAATGGACTGAGATTTTAAATGCCTCTGAGTTCATTATTATATATTCATAGTATAAGTAGTAAATAGGGTTACCAGGCTTAAATGATTTATTAGAAATATGCATTAAATTGGATTTAAATTATGGTAGAATGTGTATAATTCTAGAAAATATGATTTTTTTATGCACAATCTTTCACTAAAAATCGTGCTCCCCAGCTTGTGTATGATCTGCAGACTAAATTGTTGAAAAAATGTAGAAAATGAATCAATTGTGACCCCACAACAATAAAATTCCCACATTCAAGTGTTATGTATTGAGATGACTTTTTTGAAAAATGCATATTATAATCTACTAAAGATGTTGAATCTATGAAATTTTTTATAAATTTCAGAAAGACAGCAGAAGGATTTCAGCAGTGTTTTAATCTTTAAGAAATTGATGGTATTCATGCTGTACAGTGGTACCCTTGACCATTTGTTAACCAACCTAATCCATATACAAGAGAGGAATTTGTTTAGAAACATGATTTTCCTTTCCACTTCAATGAAATTGAGTGAATTCTACTCCTGCCAACTAAATCACAGATGTAAATGGGAAATTTGCTGACTACCTCCACTCCCTATATACTTATAGAAAAAACTACACATTTTTCAATTTTAAAGTCACCACATTGAATTTGCTGATGCTAAATTTCCATGTCATGACCCATACTTTAACTTTGGGCTTTTCTGCATGCATAAGCTGTTAATTTTTTTTTAAATCTGCAGCAAATAAATTAGCAAAAATAAAGGAATCTCTAGCCTTTTGCAGTAAACAGCTGCTGCTGAGTGACTCAGAGGCACAGTAAAAGACAAGTGGTCACAGTTCACTGCAGAAAAAACAGAAAATGCATTTCTACTGAGACAAATGCATTTAAGTTCATGATACTGTACTGTGTGAACTGATACAAAAGCAAAAAAATGGGCTGGAAACATAGGAGTAATATCAAAGAGGAAAGAGGCATCAGGCAATTGCATTTCAGTGCCTTTTTGCCATAAAATTATTCAGTACTGCATTATTACCCAAATTTTGGTATGTTCAACAGAGAAAATCTCAAAGTCTGCATGTTAATCAAAAGTTGACTGCATATTTTACTAATCTTTTTCTCTTTGAACTGAAAAAACAGACAATACTGGCATCCATTTTGGCTGCAGCCCTGTCAGCACCACAATATGGCTCCTACGCCCCCTATGGCCGCTACACCGGCGACTACCGAGGTCACTATGGTGGCTACCAGGGCAGTGTGGTCCACAGGATCCTTCACGCCTTTGGGATCCCACACCAGGATGACTACAACTATGACTACAACCGCTATGACAGTCGGTATGGCTTCGATGACCCCAATTATAACCGCTATCGCCTCAACAGTCTGACTGGACTCAGACCAGGCTTGATTTGAAGACAATTCACAGGATTGTTTCTTATACTGGAAACTTTGTTTTTATTGTGTCCATCTCTTGTACTTGTCCATTATGCGATTTCGGAAATTAATATGGTGGGAATTGTTTGGGGAGAAATAAAAAAAAAAGTATTTGTGGCAGACATGAAATAAAACTCATCACTGCATGTGTTTTTCTTCAGTTGAAAAGGTTTAGGAACCTGGTCTGTGTTTTGTGAAGATCTTTTTCAATTTTGTTTGTGTACATATCCATGCATGGTGTCCTAAACAGTTCAAACCCAAAATTTCCAACTGCACTGTACTATATTCAAGAAATTTAAAAGCTGAATTTGGGCTCAAATTGATGAAAATGCAATTAAGTGGTCCTTGTATACAATACAGTCCACCTGCACAATGGACTTAATTTGTGCAAAAGACTAATCTGTTGTGTAAAAAGTCTGTAAGGCAAATTCAATTTTGAAAAAACTAAAATATTAATTTGTTACCATTATTGTTGAGCCAAAAGAAGTCTGTCATGCAGGTTTAGCCCATTGAGTGGGATGAGGGAAAAGCACCTCCAGAGGCAGTCTGTTGTGTAAAAATCTGTTGTGCAGGAGGTCCAATGTTCCAGAGTTGACTGTATTTTATTTTTTTAACTTTTTTTTGGGAAAACTGAGCTGTCTCCAAAATTGTTCAAACACATCCAGAAATAAATACCAAATTTGAAAAACTCTTGATATATATGCAGGAATATGAATACTGTATTGTATTAGAGTGCAGATAATTTGAAATAAGTTGCATATATGCATTTAAATGATTGGAGTACAAACTCAGCTCATCTAATATGTTTTTGAAGTACAGTGGCCCCCCACCTATAACAGACCTCCCGTGTAAGGGATTTTTGCCAAACAGACCAGCTCTGCAAGCAGTTTTTCCTCCTGCCCAACAGACAAAATCCACCGAACAGACTTCTTTTGGTTTAAAATTAGTGTTGAAAATTGAAGTTTTTAATTTTTTATGTAATTGAATTTGTGTAAAGGACTTTTTGTCTAACAGACTCGTCCCTTGCATGTATCAAGTCTGTTAAACAGGGGTTGACTGTATTTCTATTCTTGTCTCAAAATTCCTCCAAACTCACCTCGTTCACCTGTATAGGTTCAAATGTATCCAAAAATATGTTAGAGTCACTTTTATCATGTTTGACTTGAGTTTTGGCTAAGATTCTCATTTAAAGCACTGGGTCTATTTGTAGAAAAAGAGTGGACATCATATTTTCAACAAGTTTTATTTTTCCTGAAAAAAAACAAGATCTTTATGCAACAATAGCAAATGAGGAAATCATGCCCACAAAATCAACAAAAGGGAGCAACAGAAGTGTGGGCAGAAGTACATTGAATTCGAGGTAAGAATGTTTTCTTTGGATCATGCTGCGACACCTAGAGATTGAGCCAAGAAGTAGAGCCGGATCAGGAAATCACGAACTTTCGGGCTCTTGGGTAAGATCATGCCCCCGCCTCCGGTGAATTTGATTTGTGGCTGGTCATTGGGCTCTATGCGAACTGTCAAAGAGCGCTTGTTTCTGGACTCGATCTTGTCATCTGTGACTGCATCCGGCTGCTCATCAGTAATCTGACAAGTCAAAATATTTTGTATGCATGATGAATTATGTTGAGGTACAGTACAGTCAAACCCGGATTTATTGCCACCATTAGTCCTGGCACATTTTGTGGCACTAAGTGAGATTGGCACTAAGTGAAGGGTTTGCTGCATGAAATGAGTGGGTTCCACTTTATGGTTTCCATTACAGGTGGTACCTTACAATTCCCCCCTAATTCATTGCCAACATAAAAAGAGCAAGGTTGAAAAAAACTCACAATGGTTTAGCTGATGATAATCATTTATTCTTGATCATAATTAAAAATATGATTACAATGGTCATGCATACTTAAATCCATAACTTTGATGAGTATCACTTGATCACATTTGAATGTTTCATGTCAGCTACATGGATGTTAAGAATAAATTTAAATTCTTCCCAATATAAATTTTCCTCATCCATGACTACCCTGCACTACAGTGAAGTGTTTACTTGCTATTGATGCTAAAGGGAAGGTTACGTATTGTGTGAAATTCAAATCAGTGAACAATAATTAGATCATGTCAGGCCAGCAATTACACAAAATTCTGAATAGAAATCAACAGATATTTTCTTCAAGTCTTGCTGTATTGATCACACCAGTTTTATGAGGACTTTTCCAGTAGAGTTTCACTTCAAAGTATTCTCACAGAAAGTTTGAACCATCTTCAAATTATATTACAGTTGAACCTTGATATAAGTCAAACCTCCCTAAGTCAAATACCTCCCTAAGTTGAATTCTTTTCAAGCCCTGATCTGGATTTCCTGAGAAAGAATGCATAAAAAACCTCCATAACTGAAAGGCATTTCCTCTAAATCCTCCATAAGTGAAATTTTTCAAGCCTTCTGGATATTATTTTGTTGAAATAGGAAAGAAAATAGGAATTAAAAATTGAATTTACTGTGCTTTGAAAGGATGTGACAGATTGAATTGGGCAAATGAACCACTGTCTCCAAATTCAGTACCCTGTCAACTCATTTTAGAAGCAATTTAATGCCCAGAATATCACCATGTGCAATGTAGTGCAATTCTTCCGATGTTTCCTACAATAAAAATGCTTGATCCCATAAGTCAAGCGTGTACGCAAAGTTTAACCTGTCTAAGCCAAATTTCTTGGCACCAGGAAAAACAATTTGTCTTAGGGAGGCTTTGACTTGGAGAGCTATTGATTTTCAAAGGTTTCCAGTTGAGGAAACAAACACTTTTATTGGGAGGAGATGTAAAAAAAAAATCACTATTTGGTAAATGAGGATATTCTGTGCCTGAACTTGTTTCTGACTGAGTTTACACCTTGCTGAGCTTGGTGGCAAGGGTTCATTTGCTCTAATAGTCTTTCACTTCCTTCCAAGATGCATAAAATCAGATGTTTTATTGATTTTCACTCTCATATTTGCAAGAAATAATAACCAAATAGCCTCAGCAAATTTGACTTACAGAGGTTTTCAAAAAAAGAGTGAGTTAGAGGTGTTTTTGATGCATTGATTCTAAGGGTATTCAGACAGGGACTTGAAAACATTTGACTTTGAGGGAGCTATTTACCTTAGGCAGGTTCAACTTATTGAGGTTCAACTGTAAATCAAAATCTCCCTAAGTTGAAACCTCCCAAAGTTAAAATTTTTCTGGTCCCTTGAAATTTTATTTAAAGAGATTCAACTGTATTGTATATCTAAAATTCAATGTAAAAAATTGCTCGATATTGAAGCTTGTTTCATAGGATTTACTTTAAATCTTCAAGGTGCAGAAATTGACTCTTGATTCATTCTTCTTCTTCTTCTGGCTTTCTTTACCTGACCATCACCAGGGATCTTTCAAAAGGGCTCAATAGCTGACTTGCCTGGTCTTGACTAGTGTCAGCACCAGCAGTATTCCGAAACACAAATGGCTGCCCCATGAAAGGAGATACAAAAGCCCCATAAAAAGGCTGCTGCTCATTGAATCCCAGTAAACCCCCTGCTGCAAAACTCTGGCCAAGTCCTCCAAGCTGTTGGGCTGCAAGTTGCTGCTGCAGGCCATACTGCCCAGCCTGCTGTCCCAAAAGAGCTGCTTGCAATTGCTGTTGTTGCTGAAGTCCAGCTAGTCCCCCAAGGCCTCCAAGTCCACCTTGACCCAAGCCCTGTTGCAACTGCAACTGCTGCTGGAGTTGGTTTTGGTAGTTGGCTTGTTGCAAGGCAGCTGCTTGCTGCTGCTGCTGCTGTTGCTGCAAAGCTTGTTGTTGGTTGCCATATTGCATTTGCTGACTGTTGTATGGCTGTTGGTTCAGAGCTGTGCTCAACAGGGATGGGTTTCCAGAACCAAGTTGGGACTGTCTGCTTTCTCCACCAACTCTATCTCTGTGGGCAAATGAAAATAATATTCAAAGTCAATGCCCTTGCATTGTGGAAGGTTCTTTCCCACCCCATAGCAGAATCAAGATTTTCTGGGGGAAGGGGCATTCAAGTTTGACCCAAGGTCACTAAGTCAGAAAAAATCTGGCAGGGAAAATCCCATGGTCTTGAGAAATCCCCAATTTTAATCCTGCCCTAGGAATGCAGGAAAAATTCCACCCAGTGAGGAATTTTTTCATGCAAAATTTTCTGCATGATTATAAAAAAAATCTTACTTTTCCTGAATCAGGCCCTGGTTCAAAAATGCAATTTTTGGTACTCATGATTGTCATGAACACAAAATGTTGACAGAATACAGTACTTGCAAAGTTTTCATGTATGTGTTTTTTTTAATTTCTGCACATTAGAATGATGTTAATTTGATGCATATGCACATCCATAAGGAAATTTTAAAAATGAGATTCATTGCTTTGAGTGAAGTCCTTCAGTTGAATGAATAATTGAAAAATTATAGCTTCTTGTTTCCTCCAGAAAATCCATTTTCTCTGTATAGAATCTTACATTAAAAAAATGAATGTTCATATAATCTCTAGATATTCAAGAAAATATACTCACACCACGTAGGGGTAATGCTGTAGAGGCACAGGAGACGTTGATACTTGCATCAAGAAAAATGCAACGCATACCTACATTAATTGAGTGGTATACAAAAGGGCAAAAATTTCAGAATTCAGTATATACAGTGAAGAAATTTGAAAACCACTTCTGTGTGCATACTCACAAAGGCAAATCCCACTGACATTGTAAAACACATACTTTATGTCCTTTTTTTCCAAGAAAAAAAAAGATTCTCCACTCCTTCAAGAACAAACAGTCAGATGTCACAGGTAGAATGAAGCTGGAAAAGTTCTGCTCAAGTGTCTTTGTCCCAGCATGAACAGGTGTTAGGAAAAGTGTTTCAGTGAATATAGTGATTTGGAATTCAGTGATCTGAATTCGCCTCTTGGCCCAATGAATATCCACTGCTGGGTTTTCTTTTCATGCATATTATTCAGCTGGGTGGGAAAATGGGATGTTAGAATATAAGGCTTTCAGCATTGCTATAAAAGAATGTATCTACTTTTCTGGGTTAGTGGGGCGAATAATTCATTTTGAAGAAGAGAGTGGGGACATCGAATGTGGTTTTCATTTTTTGGAACTGCGTGCATTGTTTTAATAATTTTTTACAGTACTTTCATATAATTTAATTCCAGTATTATTATCTTAGTTATTATTACAGCAGTAATATTACCACAGTGGGTCCTTGTTTTAAAGAATGAGAGAGCTACAAAAAATTCACATTGTGAGATTTCTGTGATTCAGAAATCAATGAAATTATTCCAAAGAACATTGTTTGATGACCAACAAATTCTTGAAATCCAGAAGGTTATAGGTTAGTTGAATTTTGTTTGAAATTAAGGAATCTCTTTTTTAACAAGTACTGCTACAAAATGTTTCTTAAACGCGCTGAGAAAACTAAAATACTATTCATTGAAATCCTGACATAAGGATGCCTCAACATACAGACACCTTGACCAAGGGACCCTTCAAACTAAAAAAAAATGCTGACTCAACATTTAGCCAATGCCTCAAAAGTTATGGAAACTTTCTGACACTAACAAAAAAAACATGGATAATTCAATTATGATATCTCTTGAAGAAATTGAGCCGTTTTTATTCAAAACGATTGAAAATATGTATCATCATAAAACTTACTCAACTTCATAATCGAAAACAGGCTGATTTTGTGGGTTTTTCAAAGTTTTTTTTCTATAATCTGTGCTGCACATTATAGCAAGACTGAATCTTGTCCTTTGCTTATGAGCTCCCTTTTGTCCAAACATATTAGACTTATTTTTACTCTTTTTATCAATGGAGGAACAAATTATACACATTGACATTGAAGTCTTTGGGGAAACAAGGTCTGAAATGTGGTTGATTCTAACATAGGGACAAGGTCCAAGAACCAATTATGTCTGCATCTCAGGGTACAAGTATTTGGTGTAATATACTGTCTTTGCAAAACATTAACAACTTTTTCAGACAAAGGATAATTAAAGTGTTATGTGAGTTTTCAATTATGAATTTAAAAAGAATTCCAAACTTTTGCATATACTTACGCAATGAGGCACAAAGCTCCAATACTTTATATAATTTCAGTTCTGGGAAAATGCTAGATAGAAAATGCTCCATCAGTTAATCAAAACTTAAAAACACAACAAACATTCCAGTAGTCAGGATGTGCACAATTCATGAGCTTCTTAATAAAAGACAGCATGGAGGAAATATGCAACAATGAACAAACTTTGTCATTTATATCCAGCATTTTCACCCTGCAAATACAGAACCAATACCATGCAATTGTCTTAGAACACCAGAACTAAGAATCATGAACAAACCCGGTTCTAAAAATATCAATGCTAGCGGGAAAAGTGTAGAAACCGCGCATTGCATTGGATGAAGCCTCAAAGAGATGTCGCTGTTCCGTGGCTTCTCCAATTTGAAGTTCTTGACTGTAAGTTGGATTATGGGTCCTCATATGTTTATGTGGTGAACTTATTTCCATTAGGAAATATTAAGCTTGAAAGGTGAAATTTATCTACAAGAACTTCTTGTACATATCAGTTGTGCAGTTGTATTTTGTGGAATGCATTTTCTTTTATTTTTGTTATCCATATGCATCTAATTTCTCTGTTTTACATTCTGAAGTGATTGAATGTCTTTGAATGGATTTGGGTTGGGTGGGGAGGGGGTTAAGATGTGGGAATGTTGATTGAACCTCATGAATGCTGAAAAGTGGAAAATGAAGCTTCCTGTTCATTCATTCATAGAAAAGCTCAATACCAAATCAAGCTTGAGCAAGGGCAAAATTCTTTTGTTCAATTTGTTCATCACTTCTCACCTTTACCAGCCCTACCTCATAAATTTTGGGAATGTTGGCATGCTCTTGAAGGCAACATGAAGTTTGCTGGTTAAGTTATTTGCCTGGTTAAATTATGGGTGGGAAGGGGGTTTGTTTGTGGAAATCTTGATTGAACCTTGTGAACGCTGAAAAGCCGCAAATAAAGTGTTCTGTTCATTCATTCATTCATTCAATTATTTGTCCCACACCATATTTATCCCACAAAACAGCTCTGCAGAACAGAATCTCTTCAGGACATTCTTGTATGTAAGAATAAACTTTCCTTATTCTCCTCTGGATGCATACAAGAAAAGTTGGGATGTTCAAGAGCAGAAGGAGTTGGGAGACAGCTTTTTTTGTGTGGGAATTTCTTGATGGAAATGCCTCTTGTGACCTTGCCATATCACTTGGAAACATAAAATAGCCAATCTTTTGAAAGGAAATTTAATAAGCTCTCATGTTCTATTGTTGTTGTTGTTTCAGCTTGATTTGCTACTGCGCTATTGTACATGAAAAAATTGGTTCACCTTTTCTGGTCCACCTTGTTTATTCCAGGTTTTCTCTGGAATATGTGTGCCCAACCATAACTCGCTGATTGCCCTTGTGATATTCATTGCAATTTGCCTTATTTTAAAAAGGAAATTGAAGTCACCAAAGTGGCAAAGTCTAGGGGAAAACATGATCTGACATGGTGATGTTCCAACATGAAGACAAGGTACAAGCCCCAATTACATCCACATCTCCTATGGCCCCCACAGCTGTAGGCTGTTCAGAAAAGAGGAATTCCATCACCCTTTAATTTATTCCCCCACACAGAAGACATTCCTTGGAGACCAGAAGCTATCTCTTATGTTTGAACCAGCACCAGACAAATGTTTGTTTTCTCTCTGCTGGGTATACAGTACAGTATTTCGTAATCAAACGTTGATGCAGCGCTTACAAAGCAATTCTCGCCTCAGGCTGATTTACCTCAGTGATTATTCTTACCCTCCTATGTGGGCGGAACGAAGGAAGATGCACTGACTAGCGTACCGAACCACACGGATGCTGTCCTACATTGCAGTTACATTACTGTACCAACAGTTTATGTAAGCGGGTTGAAGCCGTTTTTCAGCCCTTGACATCTCTGATGGCTGTTTTACAATTTGTATAACGTGTAGAAGAACTAACTTCTCAGTCACTGAGCAGGTGGAAGCATTTTTCTTCTTCGAAACAAGATGACGCAATGATGTTGCATCCCAATTGGACTGCTGGGCGGAAAGCAATAATTCTACATATATAGGGGGTTGCCTGAGGCATTATTTATTTCTTGGGGTTTTGGACACTGGAGGTAGGAAAGCCAAATATTGTGAAATGAGGCTTGGAATTTCATTACCCTGATCAGAAAATTATCATGCAGTACAGGGGTTTCTATTCTTTTATATTTCACTCATGAAGCTCTTTAGCAATGATAAAAATGAAATTGGGTGAGATTTTCCATGTATCTTTGGTGGATACAATTTCAATAATTCTGTGATGCTTGTGTAGTAAGTGCTTTAGCACTCAATACATGAATTCATGGCATGCATTGAACTAGGACCAAAACAAAAAACAAAACAAAACTATGAGCCAACCCAGGTAGGGTGCTTAGGAATTCCTTGACTTGAGCATCTGCATTATATTATTAGTGAGAGAAAGCAATTGATACTTTTAATAAAGCGTATGCATGGTATGTTTTAAAACCATTAGAATATATTCTCCTGTGATTGGTGTTGGGCTAGGAAAGTGGCAAAGTGACAGGGAAAGGAAACTGAGGCAGTCAGCCAATAGGCAGCTGGATCCTCCTTATTGGAGTCCCTGTAAAACCTTAATCTATTCAGAGTGCAAAGACCAAAGAGCGTGGACACAGGCAGAGTGATACAAATTGCTGCAGAAAGCCTTTCAGGAAATATCCTATCCACACACAGTAGAACAGTCACAGATTTTCCAAGGGAAATTCCTCAGTCCTTCCTTTGGCAGATGAAATCTTCAAGTGAAGCTTCACTGCTGTTGGGGACAGAAGTCACCTCAACAAGAAAATGCTGAAAAGAAGAGTTTTAGAAAGGGTTTATGAAAACACAGAATGAGCCTGGGACTGGGGCCGGGAATTCATNCTCAACAAGAAAATGCTGAAAAGAAGAGTTTTAGAAAGGGTTTATGAAAACACAGAATGAGCCTGGGACTGGGGCCGGGAATTCATGGTGGAATCCCTAGTTAAAGTTTTAAGTATATTTCAAATGTACCGATAATTGTTAAAGATAAAGTCACACAAGACACAAGACAAAAATTGTTTAAACAAAAAAAAAGCCTCTTAAATGCAATGCTTCTGCAGCTGGATCAGACTGTACTGTTCAGGGATAAAAAAGGTGGGAATTTATCAATTTCTTCTCTGGTTCTTGATCAAGGGGGCTTGATCAATGACAAGAAAATCTCAAAGGCCTGGGATTGGCTGATAAATTAATCATCAAAGACATCTTGGCGCCAAGACACTTGCATTTTTTGGGGGAGGGGGAAAGTTGTTGACGACTTTCTGGCAATTGCAGAAAACAACATTGTGTTAACACCACTTTTACTTTGTTGTAACATTGTTGTCATGCACACTGTTGTGTGCTGTAATTAAAATGAATATATATTATTTGCAATATGGTGCATGAATGCATCAATTGTGTATAGTCCATAGCCTTGACTACCAGATCCACACTGTGATGCTAGAGTTTCTGGCCAGAATTTCTGCTCTGGCCAATCACTGTTGTATGTTTGGTACAGTTGTTATGGCTGTGGGCACTGAGTTGTGGGGTCCCGGTTCAAATCCCCAGTAGGTTGCTTGTTTATTCATGTCTTTCCTTTGAGTGTGCGTGTGTGTTTGTGTGTTTGTTAACATGCTGCTATGCACCCTGCATTCACAATG